CTCTTTTCTCTTAGACTGTCAAAAAAGGAACAATAGCCCTGGCTGGTGTGGCTAGTTGGTTGGGTGTCATCCAGTGCACCAAAGCGTTGCCAGTTGGATTCCTGGTCTGGGCACATGCCCAGGTTGCAGGTTCCATCCCTGGTATGTGTGTGTGTGTGTGTGTGTTGAGGGGGGAAAAGAAGGGGTGCAGGAGGCAGCTAATTGATGTTTCACTCTCACATTGAAACATCATCTCTCTCTCCTTCTCTCCCCCTCTCCATAAAAATCAATAAAAAAAATGTATTTTTTAAAAAGTGACAATAGCCAATACTGTAATAGCTGTCCGGTGTGAATGCAGCAGAATTATACCTATTACTTTTTGTCAGATGGGCAAAAAATATATTTTTGGGGTGTGCCACAGAATTTCAGTAGCTTATGTGCGCCATAAAGCGAAAAAGGCTGTAAATCGCTGCCCTTGAGTGTCATGCAGGGAGATGAGCAGGTAGCCCTGGCCACGGCCACGTGCTAAGAACTACTGTTTACTGAGAACGTCAGGAAGTAGCTATCGGATACCTACTGAGCAAGAGTGATCAGTGTCTTGTGAAACAATCTGAGTTTGGGGTTTTCTTTCCTTAGTGTGACTGAGTGGTCCCTGAATTCTAGGCTGTCTTGCCCGTCATCCGTCATTATTATGAACAAGTTCTTTATTTCAGTTTCTTAACGGAGGTGGTGTGTTAATGTGTATATTGTAAAAAACGGTTTTATAGGGAATAGTGACCAGTTAAAAAAAATTCCCTTTGTGCCCTCGCTGGTGTGGCTCAATTTGGTTGGAGCATCGTACCATGCACCAAAGGGTGGTGGGTTCGATTCCTGGTCAGGGCACACAACCGGATTGGGTACCTGAGGCGACCAATCAATGTTTCTCTCCCTCTCCTCTCCCTGCCTCTTCTCTAGAGTAATAATAATAAAAAATTCCCTTTTCTTTCCTTTGGATTTCGGTATTTGTACCTTTTAACTACCAACAGGATAGCATCCTTCTTGGCCCTTTCTTACTTAGGCCAACCAGGTTGCTGCTGGTGAACCTGACCCTGGGCAACACTGGCTGGGCTCGCGACATCTGCTCTGGCCACGGTGGTCAGACAATGTTCAAATCCGGCGACATCCCAGGAAGGTGACAGCTCTCTCAGTGGACTGACGGAAATGACAACTGGACTGAGTGAAAGAGGGATCGAGGCGACGAAAACTCAAACTCAGGAGGAAGGCAGGCAGTGGAAGGACGCAGAACACGTGAAATTCCTCAAATAAAAGTTTATTAACTTTAAATAATTGCACCTGTGCTACAAATAACAAAAGCCCTTTATACTTTTTGTAAAGTTAAAAAAAAAGTTGTCCACGTTGTTTCCGCAGACCAAGCCCAATGTCTATTGCTATCTCAACAGCTTTGTAAGGCGCCCAGTACCTGTTCCTTATCACCTCCGGGGAGCCCTCCAATCTGCCAAGATATTGCTGAAATAACGTTAAAAAACAATAGTAAACTACCACCTACTGAGGCCAGTACAACCCTGAAATTTTTATAGCTGAGGAAACGGAGGCTCAAGAAAGTCGTATTTCTAAAATAAACCCGGCCCCTTAACCACTAAATCAGAATTCTCGTGAGCATCTAACGAGCAAGAGCCACCCGACCAGCACCCACTCCCTCCTCGGAGTAACCTTATCTTCCAGGGGCCCTTCCAGCCACCATTCTGCTTTCGTGCACCGAAAAGGCAGCTTTCTGACTGACACTCACAATGCTCCTCCTTAACAGCGTTTGTCTCCGAAGCTACAGGATATGCTCCCGAGCCGTGGGCATATCGACTTTTTCTTTCGAAAACGTTAAAGAATGCCAGGCCTCCTCCTGGTGATTTGCTCAGAGGAGTTAATGTTCAACAAGGCGCTCACCGTCCACCCACCTCCAACATCAAAGTTGTGACATCCGCGGCGTCGCGGCACTCGCCCCGCAAACGCATCGATTAAATATCAATACGCAAAGTCAACGGCAATTCCAAAGACTCGCCCACAGCTCTCCTCAATGATAAGCCCGTAAGGATCACACTCGGGGAGTAACTCCAAGTGGGGACACAGGCGGCCCCACGGTCAGGCGAAGAGGGAAGGGAAGCCAACGTCTCCCCAAACATCGGTAACACGGGGAGGGCTTTAGACGCCGTAACCCGACACCGCAAAGTGGAGCCTCCGGACACCACGAGGGTCTCGGCCCTGCGGCCCCGGGGCACGGAGGACCCGGCCAGAAAACCCACCGCCGCGAAGGAAAGATCGC